TCCTCACCTCCCTCACCCCCAATCTCCCCAGACCGCTTCCTGGTTCTCCTCACCTCCCTCACCCCCAATCTCCCCAGTCTCCTTCCTGGTTATCCTCACCTCCCTCACCCCCAATCTCCCCAGTCTCCTTCCTGGTTCTCCTCACCTCCCTCACCTCCAATCTCCTCAGTCTCCTGGCTGCTTTCTCTAATCTCTAATCTTCAAAGTACCCAAGGATTACTTTCTTCTATTTACGCTCACTCCCTAAAAGATCTCATGGCTTAAAGACCATCTATAGGCGAACTCCTGCCAAATATCTCCTTCCTTCCTGGGCACTTCCTCTCCACTAAGACATTTCAGATGCTGTCAATCACCTCGATGTGTCAGAGAGGAGCCCTCACTTCCAGGGTCACACCTTGGCCACCTGTCATTGGTAGAAACCCCACCCAAGAACTATGAAGCCGCTTCCCCAGAAGGAAAACCAAAACCGCCAGCATCGCCAAGAACATCAAATTCCCACCTTGTTTATTCCACAAAGGGCAACCTCTGCTGAGCTACTGTATGTTGTTGTTGGTAGGTGCTGGTGAGGTGGTTCTGACCCAAAGTGACCTTGTGTACAACAGAACAAAAACACTACCTGGTCCTGCACTATCCTCACAATCGTTGTTAGGTTTGAGCCCGTTGTTGCAGCCACTGTGTCAATCCGTCCTGCTGAGGGTCTTCCTCTTTTTCCCTGACCCTCTACTTTACCAAGCATGATGTCCTTCTCCAGGGACTGGTCCCTCCTGATAACATGTCCTAAATACATGAGACAAAGTCTCACTATCCTCTCTTCTAAGAAGCATTCTAGCTGTACTTCTTCCAGGACAGATTTGTTTGTTCTTCTGGCGGTCCATGGTATGTTCAACATTCTTGGCCAACACTATAATTCAAAGGCGTCAATTCTTCTTCGGTCTTCCTTATTCTTTATACTTTGTAGAGTCCTTGAAAAGCAGCTCTTAGGGGTATGGGCTCCTCTGAGAGAAGCTGCCATGTGGGATGTCCTCAGATACACTTCATCCCAACCAACATCTTGCTGCCATCTCTGACCAAAAAGGGTTGAAACTTTGATTCTGGGATGTGGAAGGGTACTGAGGCACCCCTGAGTGCTTGTCACAAGGTCTGGGATGTCTCTCTTCCGTCTTCGTGGCTTCTCAACTCTTACTCTTCTGTCAAGAGTAAACTCAAGTATCACATCCACTGGGAGACCTGTCCTGGCCTCCCGCAGAGTCAGCTGTACATTTTATACAAACCATTGTTCCTTCCTCACATTGTATTATAATTATTTTCTTTCTTTCGTTAATTTATAGCAGGCACTCAAAAATTGTGTTGAATTAATGAATGAAGGATCATAAAGAACATAATGTATTAATGTCCCAGAAACTACTCTTACACTGCTTTTTTTTTTTTTTAAAATGTGTTACCAGAGTTGGTAATAAGATAATAAAAGCCTGTGGCTGTCGAGTCAATTCCAACTCAAAGTGACCCTACAGCACAGAGCAGAACTGCCTCTTAGGGTTTCCTAGGCTGTAATCTTTACAGGAGCAGACTGTCCCATCTTTCTCCCATGGAATAAAATAATAGAATCATAAAATATGAGGCTATGAGGCAGTAGACAGAGGCCCACCCAACCCATCACCCTCACTGTACAAATGAGGAAACCAAGACCCCCCAAGATAAAGTGGCTTTCCAGCACACGCAACAGCTAACAATGCTGCGTCCACTGCTGAGTCCCCGGCCCTTGGTCCCAGCCTTTCCTGCCACGTTGACTCCTGAGGGTACCTGGGCTCTGGCAGCTGCAGGAGTTTTGTCTCTCCCTGCAACAGCTGATTGGTTAGGCCATACCACATAAAGAGATATATTCAATTGGAAAAACAGCTAAAACAATGTTTCCAGCCATCATAATGACAGGAAATAGTTGCTGTGGAGTCAACCCCAACTCATGGCAACCCTGTGTGTGCAAGAGTAGAACTATGCTCCATAGGGTTTTCAGTAGTAGATTGCCAGGCCTTTCTTCTGAGGCACTGCCAGATGGACTCAAACTGCCCACCTTTCAGTTATCAGCCGAGCACATTCACCATTTGCACTGCCCAGGGGCTCCGAATAACTGGTATGGACCATTGAGAGTATTTTGCCAAAGACTGCTCACCCTTGGACTAAAAATTCGGTTTGGAGTCCAGGCACAGGATCAGCACGCGGTGCCCAAGAGTGCCCAGATGTGCACTTCAGACACCTGAAGGCAGACATGCTTGGGACGCTGAGCAGTGAGAGGCTGGTCTTCAGGACACTGCTCAGCTCCCACCCTGGAGCCTGGCCCCTCCAGAGGGGTGGCAGGCTATCGGACTGCACAGATGGATGACCTGCGTAAACAGCACGATTTTATTCTCCCAGCACCTCAGGCCATGAGGACAGTTTGCACATTTAACAAAGTAAACCGAGTCGCATTGATCTGACACGTTACAAACTGTAAAGCAGTCAGCAACAGGTCTTACTGTGACGTTTCTTGGTGTTCCCTTTGGCTTCTTCCTTGGTGACCCCCAGGCACCCCATTAACTCTTGAACCGATATGGACTTGTCGTTATTCACGTCGCAATACTCAACAAATTTCTTCACGCATTTTTTGGGTTTCGATTTTTTCCGAAGGAACCTCTTGAAGGGCTTGATTTCCTTCTTGCCGATGTCACCGCTGGCATTTTTATCGAGGACTTTGAAGTACCAGTGGACCACTCGCTCCTCTAGGGTGTGGCTGGGGTCGGGCTCTGAAAGCCTGGAAGGAAACACAGACTCGTCAGGAACCCGGAACCACGTGCTGTCCTGCCACCGTCTGCTCGACCAGACAGAGTCCTCCTACCCTGATGTTCACCGCCCGCGAAGGAGCAGCCCGCCTGTGGCTTTGTGGCTGGGCTGTCTCGACCTGCACACATTTATTGTTAGATACAAGAGTTTTTAAAAATAATTTAGAAAACGTGATTTAGCAAAATTTTTTCAAGCTGGTTTTCTAAACTGCAAATGACGTATTATGATTATTATGGTCTCGGGGCAGGGCAGGTCCTTCCAGACAAAAGCTCCCTCACCCTGAAGTCTGCTCTCCCAAATGTTTGGCAAGTCAGCTCGGACACCCACACTCCACCTGTGAAAATCTTGACTCCTGGTGCTTTCTGTCCCCTTAAATGTCAGTCATTCCAATATTGCTCAGGTCACAGGTACATTGAAAGATTTAAAGAAAATACGTGCTTTTAATTGTAGCCAGACATTTTCTCTTGGGTAAAAAGTGTTGGTACTTTGAGAAATAAATAAATAAGCCCCTTCTAGAAGGGCTGAAACGGCACCAAACGGTAAGATGCAGCCTTGACCAAGGAGGAGAGGAAGGACAGTGAGCTCAGATGCTTGTCCGCCCCTCCGTGGGTGGCTGTTGGACTCTAGATTCTCCTTGGCTTGCAGGAACTTGCTTTCCCATGAGTGCGAAAACAGTGAGTTTGATATCAATAGTTTATATTTATTAGGGCGTTGTTGCTGTTAGCTGCTGTCAAGTCACCCCCAACTCATGGTGATCCCATGCACAATGGAACAAACACTGTCCAGTCCTGAACCATGCCCATGATCAGCTGCGGATTGGATCGCTGTGCCGCATAAGGTTTTCATTGAATGATTTACAGAAGTAGATTGCCAGGCCTTTCTTCCTAGTCCATCTTAGTCTGAAAGCTCCACTTAAACCTGTTCAGCACCCTAACAGCACACAAGCCTCCACTAACAGATGGCTGGTGGCTGGACATGAGGTGCACTGGCCAGGAATCGAACCCAGATTGCCCGCAGGGAAGGCGAGAATTCTACCACTGAACCACCAGTGATACTATGGGTTACTTTTCACACTTTTAGGGGAGCTTCTCAGATAACCATGTGTTTACTACTTTCAGTTTTAATTTTTCAGAGAAGAACAATATTTTCAAGAATATGAGACATACATTTGAAATTTGGGTGATTTCTTCCTTTATTAAATTTAATTTGAGTGCCCAATTCTAATATTTAGCATATTTTTTTCCGTCTCAACTCTTACTCTTAAGTAAAGGGACAAGGGGAGCCTTTCACTAAGGAGACCAACAGGCTTCAGGTCATCCAGAACAGATGAGGCAATCAAGGGTTTTGGGGCGGGAGGGATGCCAAGGATCAAAGGAAATAAAAAGAAAGTAGAAACCTTCATCAGAAAAAAAAAAAATTATTTGAAATAAAGAAATAAATTACTGCTACTTCGCAGGAGAAAATCTAGCGCTTGAAAGGGGGTAGCAATGAAGACACCCGGGAGCTATATCAGCAGAGTTATATCTACAGACGATAGAGAGACGTTTCAAGGAACCGGTACAAGTCTGTTTTAGAATGTTGCAGAGCCAATGCCTCAGGCCCACAGGTAGCGATATGTCTCCATTCACTCGGAGACAGGGCATTTCTGAAGCTGGCTTTTTATCTTCATCTTATTTTGAGGACTTTAAATTGAATAATGAAAATATCCAATCAATCGCTCTAAACTGCAATTCGAAAAAGCAAAGCCAACGGAACTGGGTGCTCACTCGTCCTTTCTTCTCCTCCCTCCCACCCTTAGACCAGCTCCACTTCCCCGTAACAGTGAGCGCAGTCGCATCCCCAGGGAAAACGGCACAGCAACGGCCTCTTCCATTGCGACAAGGTTGTCGTGCTTTCAGGCCCATTAGGAGAAAACCCTGCTCAGCAGCGCCTCTGACTGCATGAAGTAGCCTCACGGGTTTGGAGAGGAGGCCTTTAACTGAGGCCCCTCGGCCCGAGGAAGCCGCCCTGGTCTCAGATAATTAACGGTTAGACTCTGACTGGTAGCTTTCCAGATTTCCAGGCATCACTGCACCTTCTCCCCAGCTCCTGCTCTGGCGTCCAAGGCACCATACCTGCTGGAGGAAGAAGACGGGTCGGAAACAGCATGGACCATGTCGGTGGACAGCGCATCCAGGATGCTGGTGAGAAACTCATTCTTTTTGGCCCCGGGACAGCCTGGAAAAAAAGAAATACATAGTTCTGTTTTTCATGTTTCACAAAACTCACGAAGTCTAACGGATTTTTCTCTATTATGGAAAAAAATGTTTTAGTATTTAGAAATTGGCGCGTTGCAGCATCCTAATACTAATGAGTTAATCTGAACACCTGCAGCCATACTGCAACCATACTGCAATACATTGATTGCGAGCCAGACATAGTTATTGGTAATTACCATATCTAACGTTTATTGGGTTATTTCATTAGACTAAGGGGCATTATCATCTCACTGATTTTCAAAGTAGCTCTCTAAGGAAGGTAGTGTCATTATCCCAGTATTCCGTATGCCCACCACCCATCTGTCAGTTTGTCATGATGTGGTGGCATGCATGTTGCTGAAAACTAGGCCACTGACATTTCAAATACCAGCAGGGTCACCCATGGTGAACGGGTTTCAGCAGAGCTTCCAGACTAAGACAGACTAGGAATAAAGACCTGGCAATCTACTTCTGAAAATCAGCCAACGAAAACCCTATGATCCACAACAGAACACTGTCTGATATAGAGCTGGAAGATGAGCCACTAGTTTGGAAGGCACTCAAAATACCCAGTGGTCACGGAGGATTTCCGGCAAAATGGCCCTCTAGGCAGAAGTACCACATCATCCCTCCACAGCAAAGATCCGAAAAACTAAGCCGAACAGAGAAAACAACAATCTTGAAACCCTAAAACATCAAATGAAGAGATAAAGAACTCAGCCAAGCACCAAATGGAGTGAGAAAACTGACAGAGAACGGAGAGCAAGGAGAGATTCATGCAGAGCTCCCCTATCAGCTAACGCAGCGCGGATCCACCATCTTGGACTCCTATCAGAGCCCAGCAAACAGGGGGTACGAGAAAGCAGCTTCATGGAGCTTCCAGCATGAGACAAAACAACCGGTAATTTGCGATATACGCTTTCCCACCCCCCACCCTTCTTCACCCCCACTCGGCCTCCTCTGCTTCCTGTGACCACAATCCCTTGACCGGGAAACACCGGCTGCTTGGATTCCACCCACCTGAACGGGCCGGCTCTCTGAGTGCCATTTGTTGGCTGTTGGTGTTGCTTTCTTTTCTGCTTCTTTTGATTTCTTCCTTACCTCTCACCACCTCCCCCTCCTTTCGCTCAAATACCTGGCTCCATGTGCCATCTTTGCTTCTTCCTGAGGGGCTGCAGAGCTCTGGCAATTTGTGATATACGTTTTCCCACTCCCTACCCTTCTTCACCCACAGTCGGCCCCCTCTGCTTCCCGCGGACACAGTCTCTTGTCTGAGAAATACCGGCTACTTGGATTACTCCAGCCCACGCTAGCTGGCTCTCTGAGTGCCATTTGTTGGCTGCTGGTGTTGCGTTTTTTCCTGCTTCTTTTGATTTCTTCCTTACCTCTCACCACCTCCCCCTCCTTTTGCTCAAATACCTGGCTCCGTGCACCATCTTTGCTTCTTCCTGAGGGGCTGTGGAGCTCCGTTCGAGTGTGGAGCTGCTTCCCAGTCTGGGCTGCCACGCTGGTAGGATCCCGGGGCTTTTGTTCGTTTGTTTGTTTTGAATTGTTTGTTGGTTTTCTTTTCCTTTTCTTGAGTTGGGAGCTCTTTCTGGACAGGCGATGCTGCGTGGCAAGGAGACTACCCCCCTCGGCTTGCACAGACGTGCAGAGGGATCCCTGAGGGCATTTCTTTCTTTGTTGTTTTTTTTTCTTTTTTTTCTGTTTTTTAGGAGCTTTTCTTGTTCTTTTTTTTAAAATTTGTTTTGTTTTCTTT